GCATAGCATAGCATAGCATAGCGCAGCACAGCATCCACTATTGCTGCTGCTGCTATATATATACACACATACATATATTGCAGCATCCACTATCGCGCAGCGCGGTTCTGGCGCTACTACTACTACTACTACTACTACTACGACTACTACTACTACTCCTACTACTACTACTACTACTACTACTACTACTACTAAAATTATCCCAGTGCGACCCTACCTAGGAGTTGGAGCCCCTAGGAAAGCAGCATTAGTAGTAACAGTAAAGCTAAGCTAAAGCTAAGATAAAGCTAAGCTAAAGCTAAAGCTAAAGCTAAGCTAAAGCTAAGCTAAAGCTAAGCTAAAGCTAAGCTAAAGCTAAGCTAAAGCTAAGTTAAAGCTAAAGCTAAAGCTAAGCTAAGCGAAAGCTAAGCTAGCTAAGCTAAAGCTAAGCTGAAGCTAAGCTGACGCTAAGCTAAAGCTAAACTCAAGCTACGCTGAAGCTAAGCTGAAGCTAAGCTAATTGTTAAGCTAAAGCTAAGCTAAAGCTAAGCTAACGCTAAGCTAAAGCTAAGCTAGAGCCAAGCTAAAGCTAAGCTAGAGCTAAGCTGAAGCTAAGCTAACGCTAATCTAGAGCTAAGCTAAAGCTAAGCTAAAGCTAAGCTGAAGCTAAGCTAAAGCTAAGCTAAAGCTAAGCTAGAGCTAAGCTAAAGCTAAGCTAGAGCTAAGCTGAAGCTAAGCTGAAATTAAGCTAGAACTAAGCTAAAGCTAAGCTAGAGCTAAGCTGAAACTAAGCTGAAGCTAAGCTAAAGCTAACTTAAAGCTAAGCTGAAGCTAACCTAAAGCTAAGCTAAAGCTAAAGTTAAGCTAAAGCTAAGCTAAAGCAAAGCTGAAGCTAAGCTGAAGCTAAGCTAAGCTGGGTGAACCCAGGGGGCGCGACTGGGGGAACCGCGGGGCGGGGACTGGGGGAACCGCCCGGGGCGCTTTACGCTGCCCGGCCCCTTTAAGCTAAGAGAGTAAGAACACTCTAGGCAGAGCCTAGGTAGGGAACTACTACTACTACTACTACTTCTACTTCTACTTCTACTTCTACTTCTACTTCTACTTCTACTACTACTCTTATTACTACGACGATGAGGAGAAGGAGGAGGACGGCGTTTACCGCTCCTACTAATGTTGCTTTCCTAGAGGCTCCAACTCCTAGGTAGGGTCGCACTGGGATAATGTTGCAGCATACGTTGTGCAACATACGTTGCGCAATCGATGTGTTGTAACATGTATTGTAACATTGTTGTGGGATCATCTAAGCGGTGATATGTGTGTGGCAGTCGGCGTGGTGCAACCTACGTTGTGCACACTCTGTTGTAAGACATAACTGGTGCATTGTATGAACTGTAATGGATGTGGTGCGCGATAAATGTGGTGCAATCGACGTGTTATCTAGATGGTCCAACCTGCGTTGTCCACCCTATGTTGCGCAATGCACGTGGCGCGCTCGCAATCTATGTGGCGCACATTGTGCGTGGCGCAACATCGACGCGGTGCACTCTGCGCGGAGCAATGTGCGTTGCGTATTCCACTCCACGTGGTGCAATTTAAATTGTGCGTTCGACGTGGTGCAATCGACGTGGTGCAACTTATGTAATGCAATTGACTGTTACAACCGAATCAACAAATCCCACGCCCTTTGAACAAACCAAAAAAAGGCCCACACGCAATTCGGTTTGCAAAACCCATGCGGCGGCGATTGCGATGAGTGCAAAGCGTAGGCTGGTACATGTTTGCGGCCGCGCTGGTCCGCAAATGCTCGCGAGCACAGCGACCAGATAAGCTGGCGCGACCGACGCGGCCGCGATGGCGCTGACCGCTGGGCACTTCCGAACAAGCACTCCAATGCGAATCGGTGACGTGGGCGGGCGCGGAATCATGGCGACGCCGACAACGTAGACACGATTATGACATCAGCGATACTGGTGACGATGGTGGCAATGACGACGGCAAGGCGCGCAAAAGCGTTCGAATGGATTCGACATGCGGAGCGACGAGGCCCGCTTGACAGAATGTGATGGAAAAGTTGGAAACCGATGGTTTTCTAAAAGGTCCGCAAGACCGCGAATGCACGCTTTTTTAAACTGGCGTTGCTAAACCATGTGTTTTTGTATGTTGTCGGGGTGCTTGTTTTTTGAAGTTATCACGAATTTCGGCATGCGCGCGCGACGACACGCGCGCGTGCACTTCGCCCCATGCGTCGCAGGCGATTATTACGACAGCACGCAAGCAAGGGCTTTCGAACGATTCCGACATGCGCGCGCGACAGGCCCGTCTGGTCGCAGACTGTGACAATGTTGAAAAACCGATGGTTTGCTGAAACATTCGCAACAGTGCCGGCGCAAGCTTTTCCTTTGAAAGCCCTGTTGCAAAGCCACGTGCTCTTTATACGTACTCGTGACTCTCGGTTTTGAAAATCCTAGAGAAACGTCGGGTGATTAAGGGATTTCGGCATGCGCCCGCGACGACCCGCGCGCGTGCACTTCGTCCAATTGGTTGCAACGGATTCGTCGAAACTGCATATCTTTTTGTGCGGAAAAAAATACATTGCCGAGGATGGCGGGGGGCGATACCGACAGGCCTGGGATGGCATGAATTTACATTCGGATGGGCGATGGGCAAGAACCAAGTGCAAGTCTCAAAACGAAAAGGCGGCCGGTTGATTCCCAGGGCGGAGGTAGATCATGGAAAAAACGAGGCTCACTAATGAACTGCCAACTTCGCTGCTCGCGGAATCATCCGACCTCCAACCCGCAGCATGATTTGCAAAGACCATGGGGCGGCAGTTGCGACGCCTGGTAAATGTTGGCTGGCGCACCGCTGCGGCCGCGCCAAGGCGCGCAGGCCCACGCTCAGAGCGGCCAGCCAGCCTGGCGCGACCGAGTCGGCCGCGGTGGCGCTAACAGCTGGAACCTTTCCCAGCGCGTCTCACTGGCCGCGCTGGCGCGCAGGCACGTCATGGCGAGTCGTCGACTTGTGCGGGCGCGGCATGATGGCGACGTCGACAGCGGCAGACGCGATGATGATTGCAGCGACGCGGGTGACGACGATGACAACGACGACGGCGAGGCGCACGACGGCGCCGATGCGGATCACGCCGACGACGAGGACGGCACCCACGAGTCGGCGATGAACGTTTGAGGGGGATTTCGGCACACGCGCGCGACCGACTGGCACGAGAAGCCCGCATGGTATCATTTGACAAGGATCGTGCCCCACCCCCATCCCACTCCAGCACGCGCGCAAGGGCGTCCGAATGATTTCGACACGCGCGCGCGCGAGAGGCCCACTTGGTCGAATTTAATGAAGCGGTTGCGAACACCACGCGCGCAGACTATGTTGGGCAATTTATGTTGCAAAACCATGCATGTGCTCATATCTATATATGTGTATATATAGATATATATATATATATATATATATATATATATATCCGAGAAAGCAGATTCGAAAATCCGTTCGACACCTGTGGTTTTGTGCAAGATGTTGGCATGCGAGCGCGACGACGCGCGCGTGCACACTCCGTCCCATTTGCTGTGAACGATTCTCACATGCGCGGAAATATTTTATGTTGCAGATGGTGCGGCGCAGCGAATTTTGAAAAACTCTATCATCCCACCCACCCACCCACCAGCCCAAAACTTGGTTTGCAAAACCCCTGCGGCAGCGATCGAGATGACTGCTAAGCGCTGGCTGGCGCAACGCTGCAGGCGCTGTAGCGCGCGCAGGGTCACGCTCAGAGCGGCCAGCTAGTCTGGCGCGACTGCCGAGGCCGCGGCGCAGCTGACCGCTGGGGACTTCCAAGCGCGTCTCGTAGGCCGCGCTGGCGCGCAGGCACTTCAGCGCAAGTCGACGACTGGGGCGGGCGCGGCACCGTGGCGATGTCGGCAATGGCAGACACGATGATGATAGTTGCGATACGGGTGGCGATGGCGATGGTGACCACAGCGACGCCAATGACGGCGCAGATGCTGATCACGCCGATGACGATGATGGTGTCCACGCGTCGGCGATGAAAGTTTCCGAGGATCTCGACGTGCGCCCGCGGCCAGAGGCCGCGAGTGGCCCGCATGGTGTTATTCCAAACGGATGGTGCTCTTCAGCAAGCGTGCCAAGGCGTTCGAATGATTCTGACATGCGCGCGCGAGAAACCCGCTTGGCCGCATTTGATCAGAAAGATACAAACATACGGTGGTCGAAAGAAGTCGCAAGAGTGCGCGCGCATATTTTTCTTGGACAAGCAGGCCACCCTTCGGGGCGCGTGAGACGACATCGTCGTCTTCGTCGTCGTCGTCGCCAGTCCCAAAAAAGTTAAAGAACGAACGGAGACAAGAAACGTCGCGGTCAAGTCGATGCCCCCCCCCTTTTTCCCCTCCCTGACGGGGCGGAGGGGAAAGAAGGGTAGAACGGGGGGGCAAAGCCCTTACGGATCTACAACACCTTGCGCTGGAGGTTCCGACCGAATGAAACCAAATAACAAACATGTTGTGTAGGACACGATGACGCGAACACACCTGAGGACACCAACTTGTGAGGTCCCGATCTCGCGCATCCACACCAAGATGAATGAATGTGTGTTTGACGCCCCTGCTGATCAAAGTTGTGCCAAGCCGAACGTAGGCGAGGCCCTGAGGATAGGGAAACGAGCGAGAGCGGAAAAATTCTGCGGGGCACGGCGGGGCCAGAGCTTGGCTCACCTGGTTCGCTCGACGTCGCCGCAGCCGTCGTCGTAAAGCTTATGTTCGTGGTCCGTTCGTCGTCCCCGCCACCGTCACCGTCACCGTCGTCGGCGTCTGCGTCGTTGCTCGTCGCCGCTGCCGCTGCGTCTGCTGCACCCCGTGGTATGGCAGTGGTCGCCTTGGGTGGGGGTGGCCGCCTCTCCCCTTCCTGCGCACCCCCGACGCTGGTCGCGGAAAGACACGGGGCGTGGAGGGGAGATCGTCGTCGTCGTTGCCGTCGATCTTTTTCGCTGATGTTCAGTCGGCTCTACGTCGATGCCCTGGGCTGCTGGCAAGGAGGAAGGAAGCGACGGACCCTTCAAGACCCCACCGTTACGTCGAATAGTGACGCCCCGTCTTCATCGGCCTGGGCCTCTGCAGGGGCACGTTCCGGGGCTGGAGGAGGAGGAAGAGGACGAAGACGAGGAGGAGGAGGAGGGAGATGATGGGTCAGGAGGAGGTGGAGGGGGGAGGAGGAAAAGGAGGAGGAGGAGGACAAAGGAGGTGGAGGAGGAAAAAGAGGTGGAGGAGGAAAAGGAGGAAGAGGACCGTCAGAAAAAGTAGAACGGCCCGAGGTGAAAAAAACTGTGGCTGGCGGGGTCGGATCTCGGAGGTCGGGGGGCCCACGCCACGAAGAGCCCGTGGAGCCCGCCGCGAGGGGAGACGTGGTGCGGCAAGGAGGGGGGCGGCGCGCGGAGAGCACAGGCGGCCCCCCGGAGGTAGCGAACCATGCAGGGGTTCCCCGACCTGGAGGCATCCTGGATGGGGTCGTAGCAGGTGGGGTCGGAGGATCGAGCCGCATCGCCGATGCGTCGGCGATGCGTCGGCGATGCGTCGGTGATGCACCGGCGATGCACCGGCGATGCGCCCCAGAGGTAGCGATAGTGAGGCACCACGAGGTACTGATACGGCAGGTTCGTGTCGTGCCGACCCCGGCGTTGGATCCTGACACCGCGGGGATCGTTCGACCTTGAACGATCGGCCGTTGCGGAAACGTCCAAATCGTTCCACATCGAACGATTATGGGTCGCCCGCGGCGTTCAACGTTGAACGCCACTGGCCAGGTCGCCGCTGGTCGACACGACACGAACCTACCGTACCACTACTCCCCAGATCTCTCCCAGGGTGAGTTCTGACCAGAATTTCGAGGCGAATCCAGCGGTGGCGACGATGGCCTCCCAGGAGGCCCAACAGGGGCAAAACGAGGAAAGGGCAGGGGTAAGCATCGGCACCTAGTTCCTCCTCTGAGGTAGACGCAGGGAGGGAGGGCGAGAGAGCATCGGACCCTCGGATCCCTCGTCGGCGGCAAGGGGCGGAGGTCGGAGGGCCCACGCCCACGTCCCCAGAGGTCATCCACGCTGCCCTCGGCAGGCCCCCCGCTTGAGGCCAGCCTGGACTAGACCTCCGCGGGCTCTTTCTGCGCGGGGCGCCCAACATGTTGGCGACGAGGGGCGGAGGGGGGGAGGAGGGGAAGGAGGAGGAGGAGGAGGCGGAGGAGGAGGAGGAGGAGGAGGGGGAGGAGGACGACGAGGAGGACAGCAGGAGGAGCGGCGAAGGCCTGGCCAGGGCTCCGCGCTGAAACTCCGCGGGGCTGTGCCTTGCCGTCTTCTTGCGGCGGGCACGGCAGGCGCGAGGGCTTCGGCCACGCGCCAGGAGCGGGCGCCCTGGGGCCCTGCGTCGGAAGCGCAGAGGTCGGGCATGTCCTCCTACAGGCGGGTTTCGGGCGAAAAAAAATGGGCAGAGTTTGCTTGTTTGCCCCCCCACCCCAAAAAAAAACTCCCCATCCTATGTTTACCCATTTTCGAATATTCCTCCTGTAAGGGGGACACGACCGACTTCACACAAGGCACACGGGCAAATCGAAGCAGAAAATCGTTCACGAAGTGGCACGAGCACGCCTGGCTCGTCGAATCCGTCACCCATGCGGTGGTGCATTCGGTCAGCACACGGGGCTCAAGCGCCGTCAACTTGGCATCGAAAATTGACAGAAAATGGCCACGCCTGGAAAAAAAGGCGTAAAAGGCCTTCGGAACCGAAAACCATGGTCCGCCGCCACCCCGCCTCGAAACTGAAGGCCGCCGGCCGCGCCGGAGCGGGGAGCACCAGAAGAGAAAAAGCGAGGACCAGGAGAAGTTATCACTCATGCCGAGGCCGAAGGCGACCAGGCAATTCCTGCAAGGATATTCTTGCGGACGACAGCAAAGGGCAACACACATTACGCCTTAGAGTAGCCGTGTTCAGTCAGAGACCTTGCGCCTCAGAGTTTCACAGTGCTGAGGTGGGCCACGCACCTACAAATAATGTGCAAGCTGAAAGAGTTTGGCCAAAATACCTGACCCTGCTGATCCTCCTGATCCTGATCCTCCTCCTCTTCCTCCTCCTCCTCGTCCTCCTCCTCCTCGTGCTCCTCCTCCTCCTCCTCCTGCTCCTCCTCCTCATCTTTCCCCTGATGCTGCCCTCGTTCCCAGTGGGAAGGGGCGGTGACGACGACGACGACGTGCCTCAAAACAGCGTTTACCTGGGGCCTCCTTCTCCTCATCCTCCTCCTCCTCCTCCTACTCCATTCATTATCCTTATATATAACTTCTCCCTGTCGCACCCCGAGGCCAGTTCTTTGGCCGGGTCGGGCGTTTCGCGAGAGACTTCCTCACCATGTGTGGCCCTGCAGCTGAACAAATTGGCAACACGTTCACAGATGGAGGGCGCGTCGTTTTCAAAATGTGGATCTCGCCCTAGCACGGCGCACATTCGTTTTGAAAAAAACAAAAACTTCACGGATTGGGGGCGGGTCGTTTTCCAAATGTTGCCCTGTCCTGAGCGCAGTGCATATTCGTTTCAAATAATTGCATGAGCTTCACGGATTGACGGCGGATGGTTTTCATGTGTGGCTCTCGCGTTGGCGCGGCGCACATTCGTTTTAGAAATTAGTAAGAAACTCACGGATTGAAGGCGGGTGGTTTTCAAAATGTGGCTCTCGCCTTAGCGCGGCGCACATTCTTCAAATTTGCATGGGATTCACGGATTGAGTGCGTTTCCTTTTCGAAATGCGTCTCTCGCTTTAGCGCGGCGCACATTCGTCTTCAGAAATTGCAGGAGTTCCACGGATTCCCATTATCAACGTGTCAGACAGGGAGTTCTGAAAACACTGAGGATTGCGCGGGCGCAGCAGTTATGTTGATTCGCCGCGTGGAAGTCCCAGGGATGGTGTTTTGGCACGAACCAGGATTGTCAAGACGCAACAGTCAAGTTGATCCGTGCCGTTGGAATCCCGATGACAATGTCTTGGCACGAGTCGGAGTCTTCCAACAGGTGCCTTCCAAAGAGGCAGGTCCTTCAATGGAAATGAACCGTTGTATGGGGCCTTTTGAAGAGGGTGTTTGGACGGACGGTCTATTCCAACATCGTTGATGGTTTTTCGTTTTACACTGGTCCTCCTCCTCCTCCTCCTTTTCCTCCTTTTCCTCCTCATCCTCCTGCTCCTCCTTTTCCTCCTCCTCCTTTTCCTCCTCCTCCTCCTCCTCCTCCTCCTCCTCCTCCCCCTCCTCCTCTTCCTCCCCCCGCCGTTTCGCAGCGCCCACCACCCCGCCGATTTTCAGAACAGAAAACGGGGAGGGGGGCGATCTATCAGCATCACCACCAGCATCCGCAGGGACCGGCGTGGCAGTTCTCCAAACCTTCCCTGGAAAACCCCACCGAAACATCCCTGAAGGGAGTCTCACAGGAGGGGGGCTAAGACGGTTCTTGGCAAGTTTTGGGGGCCGTTTTTGGCCAGCACACCGAATAACAGTGTTAAACTTAAACCCCCGCCGCAAAAAAAAAAACTCAGACGCCCCCTCCCCCAGGGAAGATTCTCCGCTGAACCCTCCCGAACCGTTCTACGTGGAGGTTCTCGTTGGTTTGCCCCCGTACCCCCCCTGAACGCCCCCTCCTTGAATCACCCCTCGGGGGGGGGTCCCCCTGGAGCCCCCCATCTGTCCTCCTCTCGGGCGGGAGGGGAGGGGAGGGGTTCCTCGCCTCGTTCTTCAACTCGGACGAATGCGACCATCTCAGCTCGTTTCCTGGCCGAAGCGAAACACAGCCGGCGCCTTCGTGCTGATCAGGCGAAAAATCGAGGGAGCCGTCTTGGAAGACACCAAGGGGCTGGACGACATGTTTGCTTGCGATTGGGCACAGGCGTTGGACAGATTCGAAGTCAGAGCGCGCGTGTGCAGTGTTGCTGCGCTTCGGATTTCCTACCCTAATGCAAGACATGATCAAAAAGGCACTTACGCGGAGCGCCTGCTCCCCACAGTGGATCACTGCGGCTGCTCAACGCGAAAACGACAGGCTGCTGGCAATTGAGGGTTGTAAAATATCTCCATATTTGTTTTTTACGGCCCGAAGTGTCATACTACATGGTGCAGTTTACTATATCCAGCGACATGATGAACCAAGATACGTGGCTACCCGAAACGCGCTCGACGCAAACGACACGATTGTACTTTAAAGGCATGGGAAAATCACACAGCTGTATTGAAGCTTGCTATGTTTGAAGGACGCAACTATGGTCTCGAGCCGAACGGGAACGAAACTATGCAAATGCCCCTGTCGTCGAACAGCGCGGTGACGAGGCCAGCCGGGAAACCCATTGTAAAAGCTACAAAAGCGGTCCAACTGGAAGGCGAGGCTTGATCACGCGCGATGGGCGGGTGGGTATTGAATGTGACCAGACTGGTCGAAGGGAAAGGTGCACGCCAGCACTTATGCAATATGCGGAGGTATGCTTCAACCTGCAAGAAGAAAAGGACGTTGCGAATCTACACCAGCTGCGTGCTGAGCAGGGCCCCCCGTTATTTGGACTCTTTGAGGCTGCTCAAGACTGATACGGCAAGGCTGGACGCTTTGCATGTCAGTTTCTTGCGTAAGATACTGAGTACGCCTCGCTAAAATTAGAATGTCGAACGCTACCGCTCTGAAGCGCGCCGGGCCCGAACAACTTTCTGTAACATGGCGCGATCGCCAAGGTAAGACATTTAGCCAAACGGCATTGCACGAAGAAAGATCCTCGGTGAAGCGGGCGGCGCGCAACGCAGATGGCACGCCAAAGGAGTGAGCTTTTCGCTGGCGCAGAGGGAGACCCAGGCAGCAACAGGCACAATGTGTGCCCTATCCGGAACATCTGAGTCTTGAAAGAATGTGCGCGCCCATCATCTCCCCTCCCTTCTCCTCCTACTCCTAGAAGTGCCGGCTGCGACTTCAGCATTTGTTCCGTTGCGCTTTCCGCCCACGCGCCCTTCGTGGACACACGGTTTTCTTGCTTTGTCTTGGGCACCCGACCCCCCCCTCAACGGAGGTCAATAAGGCTCTCCCCCGGAAATGTAGCATTTCCCATGGAGCACCCCCTGACGCCCCCCTTCACAGCAAGGTAGTGGAAGGATAGGCGGGGTTTTCCGCCGCAACCACCCCTGAACCACATCCGGGAAGAGTTTCAAGGGAGTTTAGAAGGGGTGTTGCCCCAGACACCCTCCTGAACCGGAAGGGTCAGGGTCTGTTCTTTGGGCCGCTGGGCGGTGGGCTCGTCCTCGCGCTGGCCCTCTCGAGCCCAGGCAACGGTCACCGTGGGCTCGACCACCAGAAAGGTGGTGGGGACGCCCACGCGCTCCTCGATCTCGCCGAACAGCGCGCGCACCGTGCCCAGCTCGAGGGTGTCGCCCTTCTTGATATCCCCCTGACCCCCATCAGCGGTGGTTCTGGTGATATCCGAGCGGGCGCACTGGGGCACCAGAGGCTTCAGAACGACTCCAGCACTATACCAGATTCGCCTCCCCCTTCTAACCACCACTCATTCTCCCTCTCGCTGCCCCACCTCCTCCCCCACCCCCGCTGCCCCAACCCCCTTTCTCCGCACCCCCTCCTCCCAACTTTATGATGCAATGTTCCACTGCGCAATATATGACGCGAGCGCACGTAGCTTGTCCCAAACCCCCTCCACCTCCTCCTCCTCCTCCTCCTCCTCCTCCTCCTCCTCCTCCTCCTCCTCCTCCTCCTATTCCTCCTCCTCCTCCTCCTCCTCCTCCTCCTCCTCCTCCTCCAAGCTCCCTCCCACCCACCCCCCAGTAGATACTTTGGCCCAAGCGAGCTGCGTTTCGGGAGGCCCTCGGCTGCACACCTCGCCTCGGGGATGCCCTGGGGCCGCCTCGCCCGAGGTTCAGGGCGTCTGCGGCCGCAGCGCGCGCTGCTAGCATCTGGGCGAGGCACGTGCCGCTGTGGGACATGCAGGTTGCGCCCAAGATGCCAACTGGCATCAGCCACGACAGTCTCAGGAAGTGTCGCGCAGAGTTGCACGTCGGCACGTACGGCCAGTAGGACCGTGGACGATCTGCTGGGGGCCCTGAGGTGCGAGCCTCTCGAACGCGACGCTGAGCCTCAGGAAGATGAACCTCATGAGAGTGTCCACTTTCAAGCGAAATGCGGGCCCCTTGAATGTGGACCCAGTGTTGCGGAAGTTGGAGTCGAATGTGGAGGTCCTCATGATGAAAATGAAAATCGTGAGTGTGAAAACGAAAGTTCCACTGGGTCTCACGGAGAGGAGCCCCACAAGCGTGCTGGAGTGCATCATGGTGGAGATGAGCCTCGTGAAATGGACGCTCAGCCTCGTGGTGTAGAGGACAGTGCAGGGGCTCACGAATGTGGCGCTGAGCCTCGCGCACGTGACGATGGCAAACTAGAAAGCACCGCTGAGTCTCGTGGTGAAGTTGAGCCTCACGAGTGTGGTGCTGAGCCCTAAGAATGTACTGCAGGGCCTCATGGTGAAGATGAGCATCTAGAATGTGCTGCCGGGCCTCACGGTGAAGACGAGCCTCGACAATGTGCTGCAGGTTCTAACGGTGGGTTTGAGACTCATGCCATGTGAAGACGGGCCGTTTGAATGTGCCAGTGCCTGGCATGAACCTTGTGTGCCTGGGCAAGCCCGCCCTGGGCTCAACTGAGCAGAGCAGCTCATGGCGGAGCTGGGTGTCAGTGTGTGCGGATTGGGCACGGCTCTGAGACGCAGGATGCTGAACGAGCCAGCCTGCTGAGAGAGGTTTCGACCATGGCACACCATCCGCGCGCGGGAAGGCTCTCTGCAGGCCTGCGCGGATCTCGGAACCCCACGGCGTGCTCAAAAACACGGGACCCCTCTTGAGGACGTGTTCCGACCGTGGTGGGTGACTCCAGCGTTCCGCAGCAGGACGCA